ATGCAGGGAATGTGTGCAATACCGTAACCATTTCTAGAACAGTGGTTCATGTCTACCTCACAGTATCCTTTCATCAACATCAACACCGCCTGACATGTTCCAGATTGAGTTGATTTTACACTGGATGACGCCAACTATTCATTATTTTAAAGTAATATGTTTTCATATAATTTAATTGTCAGTGTTTAGGTTTGTTAGGTCATGCTTGCATTCATACTGATATATGAGAAAGGTGTTTCAACCATTTAGCCTACTACTTTTAGCAAACTGTTTATTGATCACTTTCAGCCATTTCAACTATTAATCCATAGTTTTTAAACTAGCTAAATATTCAGTTCAATTCTGCGATTATTTTAACCTATTTGAGGTGTTTATTCATTACTTTTAAAGGCCCAGTGTGTAGGATTTAGTGGCATCTAGTGGTGAAGATTGCAACTAACTGAACACTGCTTGCATCGTATTTTGTAGACCTGGGAATTTAAAAAAAGGCTGTGAAATGTGCAGGAGAAACTAAGGTGTCTGCAAAACTTGCAAAAGCCAGTGTTAGGTTTGTCTGTTCTGGGCTACTGTAGAAACATGGCGGTTCAACATGGCAGAAGACGACCAGCAGTGTCTGTAGATAAAAGCCAACTCATTCTAAGGTAAGTTTTCATGCCATGTCAGATTTGTTGAGGTATGTGTATCTCTCAGTGTTTGTGTTATTGTGTCCACATCTTGATTAATCTAATCAAAGAACAGACTAAATGCATGTACAGTGAAAATAAGGTTTAGAAGAACCTACACACACTTTTTTGTATATCGATCATGTTTTTATTATGTTTAGAGAAATCATTCAAGAGCCAGTGAGAACATTGTGAGACATAAATCTGAAACGCAGGTCAGTACACAACAAGAACCTGTAGACCTGAGGAAGTCTCCTGTCTTTGGCTCGCCGACAGCATCTCACTTCCTCCTCGATGAGAGCGGCTGCAGCGGCAGTACAGGCAGGGAATGGATGGAGGGGTCTGGGTAGGAGCAGGGTGAGGGCGGGGGGGTGTTTTCAGGGAGCAGCAGGGGCACATGTAGGAGGGAGTCGGACTGACAGATGGGAGGTAGGAAATGTGGGCGTCTGTCTCTCCTGTGGCTTGCCGCTGTGTCTTTCTCCCAGCGGCCTGTCACCCCCCTGCATCTGGATACAAATAGCCCCTGCTGGCTGTTTGTAGTGACTGAGTCCTTCTCACTGCCATCTGCAATGCCCAGACTTTGTAACCACTCACAGAGCCTGGCATCCTCCTCTTTATCCGTGACTGATGACACTTCATATTTCTGTTTCCCTGCACAGTCCACTTTATATCTCCTCTTTCTTCTGTTTCGCTGCTGCTTTTCTTTGATCACAGGATCCTCTGATGTCTGAAGTGGAGTCACCAATCTGCCCTGTCTGCCTCTGTTTCTGCCACTGCCTCTAGCTGACGGACAGAGGTGAGATAACAGCTGTCTGTCCTGCTGCCTACATTGTACCTGAGGGCTTGCTAACATTATAGACTGTGTGTCTGCAAATCGCCCCGACCTTAACACAGCTCTCCTCTGTAGATCCACTTCAGGCTGAAGTGCATTCAGCACTGTGCAGGACTGAATGTCCTCTGAGAGTACATCATTGCACCCCAGAGGACACGTTATTGTACCAGCCTGGCTGCCTGTCTGTATGTCTGTGAAAGTTTGTGTATCTGAGGCTTCAATGGGATGTGTATTTGCAGGCAGCACAGCTCTGGACCTGCAGAATATAGAGCGCAGTCGTCTGTGTGGGGGCAGGTTGGCAGCGAGCCCAGGCAGTCCGATGCTGCGAAACAGCGGTGGAGGTTGGAGACTTGAAATTCCAACTTTCCTCTCAATGTTTTTATGCATCCTGCTCAAAAGTGTTTGGATATTTTCTGTACACACATCCACAACGGTCCAAAGTGAGGGTGATCAAAAAGACCTCAATTTATAAAAGCAATCTTCTTCACAGCTTCTTGAAGAGCTGAGAAAAAAAAAAAACGTCCAGATGAAGGTAGTTTGGTATGTGGTGCAAAGAAAAATAAAAGTTAGTGCTAAGGTTAAGGTAAGAAGGTGAGCAGAGGTGTGATGGCAGAGTAAAACACGGAGGGAGTCTGACTCTTCATCCATATATTCTAAGAACAAAAGCTTTTCCCCCCGTACTCCTGTACTCCTCATCTGGTCCTGGACATGGTTTCCCACAATGACTTGATGCTTTAGTAATCCTCTCTTTTCCTCTCTGTCCAGTGTGTTGTTCAGCCTTTTTCGGTCTGACTTTTTTTCACCGAGCCTTGGATGACACCTATTTCTATTCCAAACAACCCACCCACCTTCTCTCTCTTTCATCCTGTTGCCCTCTTGGACATGAAAGGCACAGTCCATCAACTATTCCATCCTAATAAATTATGAATTAATCTTAAACAGAGCGCAGGGGATGTTATTACTGAAAAAAACAAACACATAATTTATCACTTGTTTAAATTCATATTAACACAAACAAAAATAATATATTGTCTACTTTATATACACTTGGGTATTGTAGTCCAGTGGTTTCCAGCTCAGGGGTCAGACTGGATAAGATACATCTGGGAGGTCTTGATAAAATAATAAAAGATTTATAAAATAATAAAAAAAAACATAACATAAATCTATGTTAATGTTTGGACTTCTCTAATCTTGTGAAATATTGGATTGTTTTGCATCTTTAGCTCTTTAATAGTTATTTGAGTATTAAAGTATAACAGTGAAGGGTAAAGGGGAATGTCTCTTTTGGTGAGACTGTTCAAATCACAGTCACCTGACTGTTCAAATCACAGTCACCTGAAAAAGTGACAGAGGACCCCAACCAAACACTGCCACTAGTATAATGTGTTGTGTTTTATATCATTTTGTGTTCCTAATCTGTAAAATGATCAGTAACTCAATCTGTTAGATAAACATAGTCAGAGGTGGCACAAGTACATTCTTTACTGAAGTAGAAGTACACATTCTTGTGCAAAACACTGGTAAAAGTAGAAGTACAAATTCATCTTCTAGGTGTAATAGTAAAAGTCAAAAAGTACAGGCTCTAAATTGACTCAAAGGATAAAACAAAAAATTACTATTATAAAGTGATGTTTCATTCTGAAAAGTCAGCTTCTTACAAACCAACATGGCTCAGTTCAAAATTTTGTTTTAAAAGAAAACAAAAATTATTATATTTAAAAATAGAAATAAAAAATTTCTAATTCCCCTCAAACGCATTTGAAGTAGTAGAAAGTACAGATGTATGTGTAAAAATAAAGGGTTAAAAGTAAAAAGAAAAATGAATACTCGAGTACCTAAAAAAAACTACATGGGTACAGTAACAAAGTATTTGTACCTATCTCCTAATGTAGTGGAGTAAAATGTACAATTTCACTCTGAAACTGTTCTTACACATTAGTTGAGTGACTGTACTTCTCTACTAGTTACTTTTCACCACTGACAATATAATACAGAAATCATAACACGTGTCTGAATTGTTTTAAAGGATGATTTTCCCCCTTTTCATATCGCCACAAGAACAGTTTTCTGTTCAAGTCCCTGGACCCCCACTGACACTGACTCTTAAACCCACCACCCACCCTGAATCTATGTGTTACATGAATTCACATCCCTTGGATTATGTCTTTCACATTGCAATATCATTATATGTCACACTGGTAACTTGAACATTCGCTGAACAATATTTGGCACATTCCTGCAAAGTTCATTCATTTATTTAAATAATTGACGGTGTCAGAGAGGAGGATGCTGTCCAAGCTACATGTTGGACAATGTCTCCCACTCCACATGGAACTGGTCAAACACTGGAGTACTTTCAGTGCAGGACTCGTTCCACCAAGATGCACCACAGAGAGCCACAGGAAGTCCTGCCTGTGGATATCAAACTCTTCAACTCTGCCCTCAGACTGGCCTTTTAAATGTTCCGGTGGTTCATGTGCAGAGGGAGACACACATGTGCTATACTACCTGTAGTAATGTTTGAATAACTGGGTTTGGTCAGGTTTTTGTTATCATTCTTTCATTATAAGTAGTTGTGAGGAAGAAACCGTCTTGTCATAGACGGTTTCTTCCTCACAACAACCTCCTCACAACAACTACACCTCCTCACAACAACTACAACTATTCTATATTGGGGACCTATAAAAACAACATTCATTTTGGTCAATAACTATTTTACCATACATTCAAACACTGCACACCATGACCATTTTCACCTAACATTTTGTTGCACAATATGTAAAGCCAACTTGATTGATCTAGCCTTTGGTTTGTTGACTGGGAGACCAAAGTGTGTCAAAAAATTATGTGGAGCACAAGTATCATGATTTGTTAATATGCTTTAATTTGGTAGTTTGTATACTACTGGCCACTACTAGCTACTTTAATATCTCTATTTCTCCAAATCAGCTTGGTGCAAATCAGACAACAGGTTAAAAATGTATTGTTAACTTCTTTTCAGACTCTTCTTAACTACTTATCTTATATATTCTACAAATATAAGATAAGATAAGATGTTCCTTTATTGATCCCTCGTAAGACAAATTCAAGTTAGACACAGCAGCATAGGGGAATGCAGTGCAAAAGTACAATAAAGAATCACAAAATAAGAATATTATAAAATGTAATAGAAAACCAAGACCATAATGAAAATCTATTGTTAGATATTGTAATATAATACCTTTTTTTAATCGTTTTTATTATCATTATTTCTTTAATGTCTTGTGAGCAGCTTAAGCAACTGTGATAAAATCACATTCCCCCCCGGGGATCAATAAAGTATTCCTGATTCTGATAACAATTTATAATTGTATATATCATCTCTAATGTTATCTTCATTTGTGTTTGCTCTATGTTCTCTATGTTTACAGTAATGCACCAATCCTTGTGTGTGGTAAATAAAACCAGATTCTGGGCTGCAGTTCCCACGCTGGCCAGCAGGGGGCGCTCCTCACTGAGCAGCAGTCAAAAGCTCTCCGCTCCGGTTTCGTCTCTGCGGCACCAAAGCGGAAGCACTTCATTGGTCCGCGAGGCCAAGATCAACGCTACTGAACATCTGAACATCAAAGGTAAACACGGAGAAATGATCGCTGTTGATTCAATCCCTCCGTTGTGGGGTGGGGCATTTTAGAGGAGGGGTGTCGTGATACTTTGAGGGTTTTGAGGGTTTTCACAACGAGAGGAGACGACGGCGGGTAAGATTAGAAAGAGGAGGAGGAGGAGGAGGAGGAGGACGAAGAGGGCAAAGTCACACGTAACGTAGGTTAACGGAGGAGACGAGCGGTAGACGCGCAACAAACATTAATGTGTGGACACAGGTTGGTTGGGGAGAGTGGGTAATGAAATATGAATGCAGTCTGTTCTAATGTGCGGTTGTTTGTTTGTGTGAGTGTGTGATTAAACCGCAGAGGATAAGACTCAATCTGTTAATGATGTTAACCTCATTTAATTCTAATGTTAAATATAAGACTAAAGACCTTATTTAATTATTGAAACACTGTAACAGCTGATCAGTGTTTGATAGAGTAAACTACCACTAGTGCTTTAGAGTGCAGGCGACTCATTAAGTGATCAATAAAGCCCATGGAACAGATAATTATGTATAATACTAATACTAATAATAACAATAATAGAAGATCAAATATATGTATGGTGAGTGTTAATATTTCTTCTGTCAGACAGCTACTGGGAGCCTTTTGTCAAGTTTTCTAATTGACTAATAGTTTGTGTTTTTGATCCCAAAAGTGATCAGTCACTCAGTTTACCAATTATATATAATATAATAGTTTCTGCTCATGTTTGTGTTTAATGGTAACAAACTGAATGTTTTGGGGTTTCGTACTGTTACTCAGCTCGGGGTTTTTGACATTTTATAACAAATTAAATAAGAAAATGATCAACAGATTAGTCAATAATGAAAATAATT